TTCTTAACATGCCCCTACCTACAGCTGCCCGCCAAAAGCTATGCTGCACCAGATGCCCTGTGTGGTTAGCTCATTAGCTTTTCCATTCTGAGAAAGGCATTCGCTGGGGTGTGGGGGTGGAATCAAGGGGTGTGTCTGGGGAGGGAACACAGGCTGCCCAGCTGGGATCAGTCACCTCTGAGGTCCTGATTCTAGGTTTGGCTCTTCAGCAGCTCTAGTAAAGCCCACACATCAGCTTTTCAGCTGTTGCGAGGCTCAGTTGCTGTGGTAACCACCTAGGTCTTGCTCCCCCCCCCCCCATCTGTGCCTCACCTGCTCCCTGGAAATGGGCAACCACAGGGAAGTAGGTGGCAATATAGTATCCAAGAGGGCAGTGTGGGCTGCCTGGACTGTACCTGCCTCCATGAGTTTTATCTTTGATATAAATAGGAAGTGTGTGCGTGCGTGTGTGTTGGTAGGTGTGCTTTAGATGCTGAGGAGCTGTACTGCCTATTGAGGGAAGTGTGTCTGAACCCCTAAAGCACATGAGTGTGGAGAGGACAGACTGCTCCAGAGGAAAGCAGCCCCAGGCCAGAATAATGAAGCAACCAGCAGAGGTGAGAGGTCCAGGCTTCTGAGGAGGGCTGTCACACAGTGCACCCAGAGAACCCAGAGGGAGCTGAGCTGGAGGAAACTGAAGGTGCAGGGTGAGGTGCTGACAGGGTGGGCTAGAGAAGGGCTCTGGGGAAGGTGAAGGAAGCCTCCTTAACCTTTGCAGCTTTTCCCACAGGGCTGGGAGCCCTTGCCAGAAGAGAGTGGGGGGAAAGAGCATTTGGTGCCGAAGGGCAAGAAACTGTTTGGAGGGCTCCTGGGGCTCTCACCTTCAACAACTCTTTAGAGGGACAGTGTGACCCTGTGGCTCATCCATATGCAAAAGGCACACATGAAGTCCCCTAATGAAGGAATTAATTGCTCTCTGATTAGACTGCAGTTCTCCTAAATTTAAATAAATTAAACACACCATTAAAGATACTGGAAATCTCACCTGTTCTCTTCCCTCAGTGTCCTCTCCCCATGGAAAGGCAGGAGGCTGAAAGATGGGAGAATGGCAATCCGGATGTGTGGATTGCCTCCAGTTGTGCTGGACTGGGTCGGTGCTAACCAGGACACCATATGGGGTCTGGGGAGCACACTTGAATTTTCCTTTCCTAAAACTCAGTGACTCGGGTCCTCAAGTCCTTGAGGCTGTGGGTAACAGAGTTATAGAGGGGAAAGTAAACAAGGGTCAAACTGCTCTTTTGAAAATTTTGTCAAGTCTACATGTCACAAGCCTGACCGGAGGCGTCGACTCTCCTATCACCAAACTCTTTGTTGAGGGGTACATCAAATGACTCAGCCAAGGTTCTCCCGGGCATACTTCTGGAATGCTTACCATTGGGCACATACCAAAGAAGGGGATGGGGAAGCCCTTGGGAGGAGGGATCTCCTAGCAGAGATCAGGGTGTGGAAATGATTCAAGATGGAAACTGTGCCAGCTGGAGAACCCAGGCTAAAATTAACAGCCCTCCTCCCCACCATTTCCCAGATTTACTGCATCAAAGCTTTGTTCCAAGGACTTAAAAGTTGCTCCTTACAGCAAAGACAGGAGGGGCTGCCTGAGGCATGAGGGCTTGAATGTGTACAGGAGGCAGAGCTGGAGAACCAGGACTTTAGGGAATTACTATTTTGTTTCCATTCTTTTCCTCTCCTCCCTTCTACCTTTTTCCTTTCACCTTCTCTTTTGGAGGCAGAGTCTTTTCTACATAACTCAGGCTGGCCTGCCTATAATTTTTTTTTTTTTTGTCTTTTTGGGACAGGAATTATCATAGCTTTGGGGTCTTTCCTGGAACTCCCTCTGTAAACCACAGTGGCCTCAAACTCAGAAATCTGCCTGTCTCTACCTCCCAAGTGCTGGGATTAAAGGTGTGTGCCACCTCTGCCTCACCTACCTATAATTCTTAATCCTGACACAGCTTCTTTTTATTTTTATTTTTTTTTTATTTTTTGGTTTTTCGAGACAGGGTTTCTCTGTGGTTTTGGAGCCTGTCCTGGAACTAGCTCTTGTAGACCAGGCTGGTCTCGAACTCAAAGAGATCCGCCTGCCTCTGCCTCCCGAGTGCTGGGATTAAAGGCGTGCGCCACCACCGACCGGCTCTGACACAGCTTCTTGAAAGCTGGGATTTCAAGTACATGACAACTGGGCCACTTAAACTCTTATCCTGTTAATTTGCCACTGAAATCAACACAGACTGAGTGTTGGGCTCAACATTGTGATACAGGAAGAAACACTGCGTGGTGGCTCACCCCTAATCCCAGCGCTTGGGCAATTAGGAGTTCAAGGTCATTTTACCAATGTGGTAAATTTGAGATCAGTGTGAGCTTAGTGAGGCCAACTCAAAAACACCAGACAGGCAGACACCACCACCACAATGTTGCTGGGGAGATGTGAGTCTGATGGCTCAGATTTGTAACTCCAGCACTGTGTGTTTGTGTGTGTGTGTGTGGGGGGGGGGCTCAATGACCAGTCGATGTGGTTGAATTGGTGAGCTTTAGGTGGTGGTTAACTTAGAGACCCCACCTCAAAAAAATGAGCACAGGGATTAAAGAAGACATTTGATAATGACCTCTGGCCTCCACTTACACCACAAATACACAAAAACTCAAACCAAAACAAATAAAAGGTGTGGTGGCTCATGTCTGTAATCCAGCACTGAGAGAGCTGAAGGCAGCAGGATTGGGGGTTCAAAGTTATCCTGGCAAGTTTGTGGCCAGCCTAGGCTACAAGAGATTCTGTTTCAAAAAGTAGACAAGACCACCTGGTCAACCTGATCCCAGGCTAAGACCTAACAAACTAACTAACTAGTATATTAAGGTATGGTTTATTATTGCTGGCTGTGACTTTGGAGGGGGGGAAGAGTCACTTAGTCCCACTTTAACTATCTGTAGAATAAGATTGTAGTTAATTTTGCTTTCTCACCGAGGAAACTCAATTCTGCATTAGCCAAAACAGACCTAAGCTCAGAGACTCTAGCCAGATCATGCTGTTTGGCCTTGTGGCTACATAGATTTACTAAATAAATAAATGTATTGTCTTAAATATTAAAGATTCGTTCCAGGTTTGGTACTGAGATGGATTTCTGGTAATCATGTCCTTTAATCACACCACCCAACTGAAGCAGAGGAAGCTGGTACAGGAGACCCACAAGAACCTGTAGAACAAAGAAAATTAGTAACATTTATAGCCTTTAGAGGGTAGGGCATCTCAGAGCCTAGGAGGTTAGTGAAGGAAGCAGATGGGATATAAGCAAGCATTCAGGAAGTTATCCCATTGTCCCATCCCACCTCGGAGCTGTTACAGGCCAGCAGTGTAGCAGCTTAGGGAGGGTACAAGATAGGATAGAAGGTAACTTAACACTTAACTAGATACTTAACAGAATCTAGTGTGAACAGTTTCTTCCCTGACAATCTCACTAGAGAACCAGATATACAAATTAGTTAAAATTAACAGTATAAACTATAGACTAAGGGAGGCTTGAAATTCCATCACATAGGAGATTAGAAATCCATTTAGAAAGTGGATTTAGGATTCAAGGTCAGCATGAACTGTACCTGCGCAAGACCCTGTTTCAAAGACATAGCTGGGCGGGCAGCGGTGGTGCACGCCTTCAATCCCAGCACTTGAGAGGCAGAAGCAGGTGGATTTCTGTGAGTTCAAAGCCAGCCTGGACTAAGGATAGAATTCCAGGACAGCCAGGGCTACACAGAGAAACCTTGTCTTGAAAAACAAAAACAAAGATAAAGACACGCTGTAAATGCTACAAAATTTTAAATGAAACTTTGGGTTGAAGCAATTGGGGAAGATCTCCTGGAGTAGTTCATAATCAATTGCGCATTTACACAACAAACGTTTACTCAACAGCTTAAGTTCTGGGATCTGTTGATACTTAACAGGGAGCAATTCAAAGTCCTAGCCCTGATGAAGCTGGGAGGAGGTACGCCTGAGTGTAGTGTGGGTGGAGGCAACAAGAAAAGACCAAAGCAAAGATAAGAGTATCGGCGTAGTCACAGGAAGACGGTTGAATTTTCAGGGATCTCAAACAACTATGGACACATTCTTACCTTTTCTTGACTATTCAAAGCACTGAGGCATTCCCCACCCTAGCTCAGCAAAGGGACCCTCGTGAAGATTCAAGAAAAAAAAGTCAATTAACTTCCTACACAGCCGATTACACCCAGAAATGAACCGTGACCCCTGTCTTTTAAGAATCCGTACCGTCTCTACTGGGGACCGAAGGGACGGCTCAGCAGTAAGGAGTGCTTGTTGCTCTACCGGAGGACCTGAGGTTCGGTTCAGCACCTAGGCAGGGAAGCTCAAAGCTGTCTGTTACTCCAGGGGGCTGCTGAGGGCACCCGCACACACCTACACGGATTTATACACACAAATAAAAATAAACCTAGAAAAGGGAGAACCTAAACTGTCTTTACTGCCTTGATGCATAATTCATGAACCTGATCAGCTCCCACGCTACCACTTCCCCAGAAGTCTCTTCCGGAAGCCCGGGACCGCTCTTCGAATGCTCAGCTTCAGCTAACAAAACCCGCCTTCACTTCCGCTGGGGCGTCACATCTACCGAACGCTCCGCACGTTCATGGGAAGGAGCCACTTCCGCCCTTACTTGTCGTAACTTCTGCCCTCAGGATCCCGGAGCCCTTAGCAGCGCCGGAAGTATTCAAGGCGCTCCCGGAAGTGACTCGGCCTTTGAACTCTTTCTCTCCCCCCCCCCCACTTTCCTGCTACCACCCTCCCTTTGCTATTTCCCTCCCTCCCCCCCCCTTTTTCGTTTCCGGCTCTCCCGCCTTCTCCGCGAAACGACTCCTCACTGAGGCTGTGTGTGGGGGGGGGGAAGGTGGGCGTGGAGGAATCGGGGTTCCCGGGAGCACGAGCCGCAGCACCACTTCCGGGTGAGTGTTCAGGCGGGAGGGCGGGAGGGCGGGGGGCCACACACTGCCTCGCGCCCCCGCCCCGCGGGTGTCTCGCGCGCAGCTCTGCGAGTGTGGAGATCCGTCTGGCGCCTGCAGTGCATGCCCGCGCACCCCGCCTTTCGTTCCCCGTTCCGCGCCCCGCGGGTCCTCCCACTCCCTCGGCTCCCTCCATTCCCTGCAAACGCCGCCCCTCCCGCGCGCTGGCTCAGGCGCTGGCGCCGCCGCCGCCGCCGTCGCCGGGTGAGTCTCGCGCCGCTGCAGTCGGCGCGCGCCAAGCTCCTCGCTCCTCCCCCTCCCCTTTTCCTTGGGCGAGCGAGCGGGCGGGCGGGGTGGGGGGGGTGGTCCACGATGTGACTGCAAGTGTGTCTGTCCCGGAACCGGAAGTGGTTGTGGAGGAGCGGGCGATGAGGAGGAATGGGGGGGTTTAGGGGGCGGGTGCCTGTCTGGTGGGTGGCAGAGTTCAGCTCCCTGGAGGGGTGAAGGAGGGACGTCCCAAGGACCGGCCTTTGAGGACGGAGTGGGAGTTGACATCGGGAGGAAGGACCCAGTTGGGTGTCTCAGGGGTGCGAAGGTTTTAGGGGGACAGCTGGGGGTCTCCAGTCTAGAGACCACTGAAGGTTGAAGGAGGTACTACTTGGCACAACGCCTTGGGTAGGCAGGGGGCGAAGTCCCCACAGAAGTGGAGTGGGTGGGCGAGGCCAGAGGAAGTGGCTGGGCCTGAACTTGGCACTGTGCCTGACACAAGGGCTTGGGCATCCCCCTACCCTCAGCGTTGCTCTCTGAACCACTTCTCAGGAGCAGGAGCCTCCTTCATGTCCTCCGTTCTCTGACTCCCTGTTACTCTTAGCTCTGAGGAATGAAGATTAAGTGTCCGAGCCTAGGAGTGAAACCCAAATGCTGGTGATAGCATTCATCTTAGTTTTGGGGAACTGGTTTTATTTCCCCTCTATCCACGTAGTGGGTGGCACTGGGTGCCTGTCCTTCCATCCTTGGATTGTTGCTGGGGAAGCTGCCTGCTTTCTAGATTGCTGACAGTCAAAGAACTTCTGAGGTTCTGTGCAGTTCTCTGGTGGCCTCCGCTTACTGGCCTCTGTAACCTAGAGAATTTGTTTCCAGAAAGTTCAGGAGCCCTGGAAAGGAGAAGGAATAAGACGGCAGGAGGAAGAGAGAGAGAGGGTAAGACGATCTTGGGTTAATGATTTGGGAGGAGGTGGGATCATAGTCAAATGTGATTTTTTTGTTCGTTTGGTTTTGTTTTTTTTCCTTAACAATGTGACAGAATTATTGGAGTGATCAACACTTGTGGTACTGGTGTTTGCTGTTAGACCATAAAAAAAAGTGCCTTTTCTATTTATTATGGTGCCCGGAAAGTTTTTGTATAAAAAGGCAACACTGTACCTTTGCCGCCTTCCGTTACCACTGGTTCTCATCAGGAGTGAAATGACCAGGTGAGACCACGAGTGGACTTGCATTTTGTCTGCTGTGGAGACATAAGGACGCCGATGGCAAGGACCGTCTTTATGGTGTAGCCTCCAGAAACAAGAAGAGCCAAGTGTGGAGAGCATTTCCCACTCTTGGTGGCTAGTGGAGTGTTTGCTTGTCTCTTGGATGATGAGACAGTAAATGGGATTGTTTGAATCTGAGGTGTCAGGGGAAGTTTCGGGGGAACACCGCTTCTAGCTTAGTTTGAAAGAAAAGGGATAAAATTATATGATGTCCTAGTAGTAGTCAGGGAAAATCAAAATATGAGACCTGATGGTAAATAATGTATTTTAGTTTTTGGAGACAAGATTTTGTTATGTAGCATTGACTAGCATGGAACTCCCTAAGTAAACCAGATTGACCTCAGACTTGAGGTGACCCTTCTGCATCTGCTACCCAGGTGCTGGGACTGTCAGGCATATGCCATTATGCATGACAGGAAGTAAGGTTCTTTAGCCTTTAATCCCATCATGGGGGGTGGGGGCGCAGAGGCAGGTGGATATCTGTGAGAGTTCGAGGCCAGCCTGGTTTACAGAGCGAGTTCCAGGACAGGCTCTAAAGCTACAGAGAAACCCTGTCTTGAAAAACCAGCCAACAAACAAAAACCCAGTAGGGGCTTGAGAGATGGTTCAGCAGTTAAGAACAGTGGTGGCTCTTTTGTCCTAAGTTCAATTCCCAGTGCCCACATGACAGCTGACAACATGGGCTCCTGTGCCCGCTTCTGGTGTGCAGGTGAAACACCTATGTACCTAAAATAAATACATCTTTAAAAGCAATACAGAGGGGGGGCTGGAGAGATAGCTCAGAGGTTAAGGGCACTGACTGCTCTTCCAGAGGTCCCGAGTTCAATTCCCAGCAACCACATGGTGGCTCACAGCCATCTGTAGTGAGATCTGGCGCCCTCTTCTGGTCTGCAAGTATACATGGAAGGAATGTTGTGTACACATAAATAAATCTTAAAAAAAAAAAAGGAATTGTTTAAAAAAAAAAAGCAATACAGAGGGCTGTAATTCAGTTAGTAAAGTGCTTGTCATACAAGCATAAAGACCTGGGTTTGATCCCCAGAATCTGTGTAAGAAAGCTGGGCATGGTAGGCCTAGCACTGGGGAGGCAGAGAGAGGTGGATCTCTGGGGTTTACTGGCTCGTCGGCGCAGCAGAATTGGTGAGGCCTTGGTCAGTGAGACACCCAGCATCCAAAAATAGAGTGGGTGGCACCTGAGTAATGACACCTGAGGTTGTCCTCTGGCCTTGCTTCACAGGCATCAACGTGTGCACCTTCATAAACACACACAGAAGATAAAATAGCAAGGACCGGAAACTCTGGGTCCTCACCTTGGCAGTAAAATCTGAGTTTTGAAGGCCACGACACCTTGCCCTTCGGATGGTCGGAAACACTGCAGATAGTGGGTGGAGGGACAAAGCTTTAGTGCAGGAGTGCTTGCCCCTTTGTTAGCGTCTCCTGTTGAAATAAGGAATCTTTTGAATTCTTTTTTGAGCTTATATTTTATATCTGTTTTGTGTATGTTGAAATCATATTGAGATCAGAACAACTTGAGGGAGTTGACTCTCCTGTCTGATTCTGAGGATTGAACTCAAGTCATTAGGCCTGCTAGCGGTCTACCTTCGCTGCTGAGCTGTCCCCACAGCTCTCTTTTTATACTTGATTTTTAAAGGCGGGGTCTTTTTTCTTTTTCTTTTTTGTTTTTTTGTTTTGTTTTGTTTTTCAAGAGACACGGTTACTCTGTAGTGGTATCGTACGCCACCACTGCCTGGCTAAAATGGGTCTTGTCTGGAGGTGGTGGCACATACTTTTAATCCCAGCACTCGTGGACAGAGGTAGGCAAATCTTTTAAACTATAGGCCAGCCTGGTCTACAGAGTGATTATTAATAGAGAAACCCTATCCTGGAAAAAAAAAATAGTCTGTTATGTTGCCTAAGATGACCTCAAACTCACTTTGTAGCTGAGCAATACCTTGAGCTTTTGATCTTTTTGCTTCCACCTGAATGCTGGGGTCAGCAATTTTACCTCACCTAGGTTTATGTAGTGCTGGGCATCAAACCCAGGACATTATGCATGCTGGGTAAGCCTTTCCCCTACTGACCAATCACCAGACTGAGTTGGATACTGGAAAGAAAAGTTCTAATTCAATCATGATAGTTTTGGAATTTTGGGTTTTTTTGTTTTCTGAGACAAGGTTTCACTGTAGTTCTAGAGCCTGTCCTGGCACTAGCTCTTGTAGAGCAGGCTGGTCTCACACTCACAGAGATCCACCTGCCTCTGCCTCCTGAGTGCTGGGATTAAAGGTGTGCGCCACCACCACCCGGCTTGGGGTTTTTGTTTTTGTTTTGTTTTTACTTACTTTCTCTGGACTTAGACTTCCTTTCTTTTTTTTTTTTTAATATTTATTTATTTATTATGTATACAATATTCTGTCTGTGTGTATGCCTGCAGGCCAGAAGAGGGCACCAGACCCCATACAGATGGTTGTGAGCCACCATGTGGTTGCTGGGAATTGAACTCAGGACCTTTGGAAGAGCAGGCAGTGCTCTTAACCTCTGAGCCATCTCTCCAGCCCTAGACTTCCTTTCTTATTAACAAAATAGTTGAAGCTTAATAGAGTAGCAGAGTTGAAGCTCCTTTAATCTGGAGGCTTTCTTGTTAATTACTTTTCCTTGTTCTCTGGGGTTATAAAAGAAGTCTTCTACTTTCTTCCACTTTCTAAAGTAAAGCCAGTTCTTTTCAAATTCTTTCTTTCTTTTTTTTTTTTTTTTGAGACATGGTCTCACTGTAGATTGGTCTTTTGCATGTAGGAGTAGTGGTAGGGAGTGAAAGAAAATGTTTATGGGTGCGTATGTCATGGTGCAAGGATAGTGGTCAGATACCAACCTGTGGATGTCGGTTTTTTCTTCTCCCCTGCGTGTTCGGAGGATCAAATTCAGGTTATTAGGCTTGGTGGCAATCACCTTTGTCTGCTGAGCCAGCTTGACAGCTTCAGATTGGTCTGAAATCATAATCTCCCTGCCCCAACTTCCGGAACCCTGGATTGCAGCATGCACCACCACACCTGACTCTTTTTTTTCTTCCTTTCATTTTTTTAGTGTGCATGGTTGTTTTGCTGGCATGTATATCTGTGCACCTTGTACATGCCTAGTGGCCCTGCGGGCCAGAAGAGGGCGTTGAATCTCCTGAAACTGGAGTTACAGATGGTTTTGAGCTGCCATGTGAATGCTGAAATTTGAACCTAAGCAAGGGTATCTAATGCTTTTAACTACTGAGCAATCAATCCCTCCTGCTCTTTATTTATTTGTATGTATATATCTAATTATCTAGATTTGAATGAGGCTAGTTTTTTTTCTTTTTTTTTTTTTAATATTTATTTATTATGTATACAATATTCTGTCTGTATGTATGTCTGCAGGCCAGAAGAGGGCACCAGACCTCATTCCAGATGGTTGTGAGCCACCATGTGGTTGCTGGGAATTGAACTCAGGACCTTTGGAAGAGCAGGCAATGCTCTTAACCACTGAGCCATCTCTCCAGCCCCCTTTTTTTTTTGGTTTTTCGAGACAGGGTTTCACTATGGCTTTGGAGCCTGTCTTGGAACTAGCTCTGTAGACCAGGCTGGTCTCGAACTCACAGAGATCCGCCTGCCTCTGCCTCCCGAGTGCTGGGATTAAAGGCGTGCGCCAACATCGCCCGGCAGACTAGGCTAGTTTTAAACTTACCAAGATCCTCCTGCTTTTGTCTCCTGAGTGATGGCTTCAAAAGCTACCACACTAAGCTGTATTCTGTTTTTGTTTTTATTTATTTTCATTTTTGTTATTCAAGGACACGGTTTCTCAGTGTAACAGTCCTGGTTGTTCTGGAACTCACTTTGTAGACCAGGTTGACCTCAAACTCAGAGATTTGCCTGCCTCAGCCTCCCTAGTGCTGGGATCAAAGGCGTGCACCACCACCCTCTACTTTTTTGTTTTAAATGCATCAGTACAATTAAAACTGGTTGGAAATACTCTGTGTCGAGGTGGCCCCCATTCTATCAGTGATTTCTTTAGGTTGTTGGAATGTTGCATAGTTTGGGGAGATTTCCTCTGTGATAGATGAGGAGGGAAAGTGAGTGCTTAAATGCCAGGTCAACTAGAATTTGAGTGTTGTGGCTCTGGGGCACCATTTGCATTGTACTGTAGCCATTACCTTCATTCATGGCTTTCCAGCTGACCTCAAGCCAAGGAATACATGGATTTAGGATAACTTATCAGGAGAAGGATAGCATAGATAGCTTTTTTTATATATGTATTGTGTATGTCTGTGTGTGCGCGCACACACAAATGTGAGAGATAGCATGCATGCAGAGGTCAGAACAGCACAGAGGAGTTGATTCTTTTCCTTCCCATGTTTGTTCTGGGGATGGAACTAAGGTTATTGGCCTTGGCAGCAAGCACCTTCATCTGCTAAAACATGTTACCTCGTCTGTAGTTTTTTTTTTTTTTTTTTTTTTTTTTTTGGTTTTTCGAGACAGGGTTTCTCTGTGGCTTTGGAGCCTGTCCTGGAACTAGCTCTCTAGACCAGGCTGGTCTCGAACTCACAGAGATCCGCCTACCTCTGCCTCCCGAGTGCTGGGATTAAAGGCGTGCGCCACCATCGCCGGGCCTCGTCTGTAGTTTTTGAGACAGGGTTACATTTGGTACCTAGAT